CTCCTGAGTGGATCTGCTGTAAAAGCCAGTTTAGCTGTTTCTTTTTTTATGTACCCCTTTGTAGAGCATTCTCACTAGTAAGAAGGCCCCAACTAGGTGCATCCCCTCAACCTTACACCTCCTGACCCCCAGTCATGATTTATAGAAACTTTTATGCTTTATTCTTACTGAATCTAATGCATTCATTTATAGCAATACAAAAAGGACCAAGATACTGAACCCCAAAACAATCATTTCAATACCATCCTTATAAAAATCACCCTCATTTCCCATATAACTTTGTTGTTTTGCCAAGCTACTAACAACACACTTGATGTTTTTTTTCTTACTATTTTCGCTGCAGAGGCTCCCTACAAAACAATGTATAAATACTACTGATTTAAAAAGCCAATGATTTAAAAATTAACATGAATCCTTTCGTGTTGCATCATTGTAGCCAGCATCCATAGATGATGCCCGTTCTCATTTCCTAAAACATAATGTAGTTTCGCCACTACAAATGCCAATAATCTCATACTAGCTCCCCTGAATCCCTTATATTCCCTCAGTCTCACTACAATTCACTTTCAAACTTATGTTTATCAATTCTTACTTTTTTGTGCATTGTTTCATAAAGTAAACCATTTATGCTTTTAAACCTGCTCATTTCTCTGTCCATCAGGATTCTTCTGGCTTAAGGTTCAAATGCTCTCTTCTCTGTCCTCAGACTATGTATACATTCAAGCCTCACAAATCCTGTACAATACTTACTGTTCACTCAACTCAGCCATTCCCTTTTCTTGTTACTACCTTTTGTTCCACAGCATTTGTAATGGCCCTAAAAATTCTGTAATAATCACGTTTAATGGCTTAGATTTATTCTGTTACAGGCTCCATTTTTAAAAAGTTAGAAAACTATATATTTCTCAAAGTACTCTCAATTCTGACAATTATCTGTCAACATTTTTGGCTGCAACCTCTTTTACTTATTTCTTACTTCTTGGAGTTCTACTCTTGGGCAGTATACAGAGGGTCTAATTGTAAGCCATAAGTCTATCATAACCATTCTTACCTATGCTCAGGACTGTTTTTCAAATTAATTCCTGGATATCTCCACATAGATATTTCAAAATTATGCCCATGGTTGAATCCACAATTTTTCCCATAAACCCAATTCTCTTTTCTTAGAATTTCCTATTTTCACTAGCCACCTAATCTCTTAAGTTGAAAGCTTTGGTAACGTTTTCCTTCAACTCTTACATGGTGCATGACTAGCAGTTATATCAGATTCTACTGTACAGGTAAACTCTAGAATCTCTTCACTCCTTTCCATTTTCATTGTCAACACTCACATTCAGGTCCTCATCTCTTTTCATTTTGAAGAAGAAAAATGCTCCTATTTGATCTCTCTACTTCCAATCCTATTCCCCCCAATGGACCTTCCAAATTATCATGAGGTAAAGAGTATGTTCACTGCTATGTATTCCCAGTAGTATGTAGGCACAGTTCAAAGAACACAGAAATGGTCAATTATTATTAAAAGAATGAATGTACTTTGTCTAAAACACAAATATCATGTCACTCTTTGCAAAAAATACCTTTTGAGGCCACTCTCACACACACACATGAGAGAGAGAGAGAGAGAGAGAGAGAGAGATACTTGGGTTGTTGAACTCATTTCGTTCCAAGTTCATGTTCAAACACTGAAAAGTTTGCAAACTGAACATATTTTTCCCATAAGAAATAATGGAAAGGGGCTAGGGATTTAGCTCAGTGGTTCCGCCACCTGCCTTGCAAGTGCAAGGTCCTGAGTTTGATCCCTGGTACAGAAAAAAAGAAAAAAAAAAGGAGAAATAATGGAAAACCAAATAATTGTTCTGAGATCCCAATATTAGACTTATAAACTCACTTTTCCAGCACTTTAACAAATTTTGCAATGATTTCTTTCTTTAACTCTATCGTGGATCATGGTTCTCACAGTTTTCTTCTTAGCTTTACTGCTGGTATCACTAACTTTCTTTGGAGACATGGTTACGATATTTTACGCAAACAAAGTGCAAAAAAAGGGGCACAATGACTATGTTTTAACTCACTAACACAAGCACTATATGTTGTGTGGATGACAGGAGAACTTAGATTGAAGCATCACTCTTTTGTATCTGCAGCTGATATGACTTGTGACTCACTCTTAGCCCATACAGGCTTTTTCAAGTTGGATTTTCGGTTCAACTTTCGGGCAAAGTTACAAACACTGATCAGAATTTTTTCGAACTCTGCTGTTTGAGTAGTGGAAAGTTTGAGCTTGGAGCTGTTGGACAACCAAGGTATCATTCTATATGTTTTAGATAGGTAGATCCAAAGTCCTTACCATGTCACATAAAGCAATGCAGAGTCTGATCTCAATATAATTTTCTAGGGTCAATATAATATAATTTTCTAGGCTCATCATTCACCACTTCCTCCTTCCTCATTACAAGAATCTACAAGCTACCCTTCTTGGGCCAAACTGCCTTTTGTTTGT